TGCTTGTGTCTTTTCCCTTGCACGCGTGCGTGTGTGTGTGTGTGTGTGTGAGGGCTTGCTGCTGGGAAGTTCTGTTTTCAGGCCCTTGGGCTCCTCTGAAGGGCTATCCATGCAAAAGCAACAGTAGATTTGAACCCCATATCAACAGGTGGGTGGTAAGATGAGACATCAACTTCTGCCCAAAAGTGGGAGGCTGCGGGCCTGGGCGGCTCGATTACAAAGTATCATGGCAAATAGCATGAGCTGCATGTCCTCAAAATAGCCCGCGGGAGCCTATATAACGCGATGCGCCTGGAGAACCATCAGTCCTGGGCCAAGGGCCTGCGGGTGAACTGCGTGTGCCCAGTGCCACCTCCTGCATGCGGCATGGGAGTGTAGGGAGACGATGCGATGCGCCTGGAGAACCATCAGGGCCAAGGGCCTGCGGGTGAACTGCGTGTGCCCAGTGCCACCTCCTGCATGCGGCATGGGAGCGTAGGGAGAGCCTGGCGGCCGCCGCTTCCCTACCAACAAGGGGGACTCGCACCCACTGGGGACGCGGAGAGAGCGCAGCGGTGCGGGTGCCATCACACCTCCGTAGCAAGGAGGGACCTGAGGGAGAGAAGAGGAGAAAGCAGTGCTTCAAGGCTAGCGAGTGGTAGGGCCGAGCACTGAGCAACTCCGGCTGCTCCTACAGCCTCCATGCCTCTGCTCCTCTTCCTCTGCAGCATCTGAAGGCTGCGATCAGCATGAAGGACTATTACCCAGTCTCAATGCCCCGGTACAGTCGGTACGCCCAGAGACTGAGAGCCTCACGCACTGTGCGCTTCCCCAATGACGTCGTCTTTCAGGACCACATCAGGCAGGGGGACCTGGAGCAGGTGGGCAGATTCATACGTGCCAGGAAGGTGACGCTGGACACCATCTACCCTTCCGGTGAGTGCTGCCGGGGTTGGCAGAGTTGGAATCTGCGCAGCGGCATGGCTCAGCTGGGCTGCAAGGGAGACGAGAGCGAGCCGTGCAGCTAAAGCTAGGATGTGGGCCGCCTTCAGCAGGGTGACAGGTTGGAATCGAGTCATTTTCCTCTCTAGTGAGGAGTACCACCCCCAACATCGCCAAGCAGGGCCCAAGAAAGCCCCATGTCAGTGCCCCAACATCTCCCCTCAACAGCGTGGTCAGCGCACGCTGTGGGAGGCGGGGAGGCTTACCCCTGGGTCCCTTCAAGGCATGATGGTGCACCTGCGGTGTGGTGGGACCTAGAAAAGGAGCCGTGAGCACAGGCTGATCTGTGGAGCTCTGGACGGGACGGTGGGGCTCCTGCCTTCTGCCCCAGCTTGGGGGAAGAGCAGGGAGAAGCAAGGCTCTGCATTTTATTCCTGTCTCTGTCCATTTCTCACGAACACTGTTCTTTCTCGCACATGTGGATCTGTGGACTTGTAGCATTTATGTGGGGAAGGTATTGTGCTATGTTTGCGCCCAACCTCACTAGCCACTGTTTATGGAATGTCTTGATCTGTACTGCCTGGTGCAGAGCTCAGATTTGTCCCTTTCTCGTGCTTTGGCTTCAGCTTCTGCTGTCACATGGCCACGGAGACAGGGTCTCAAATGGCCCCGGACTTCCTCCTATCTATAGTGATTGCTTCATTACTTGCTCTGTAAGGAGCTTCCAAAACTTGGACAGAGCAGGACCCCGGAAACACTCTTCTCGTGTCCCCATGTGAGTCCTGGCCGAGACTCAGGGCAGGCCGCTGGCCGGGAGCTCTGCAGGAGAGGGCAGCTCCTCCTCCCTTCACCTGTCCTGCCTGGCCCAGTGGGGAGGTGGGTGCTACACCACCTTAGAGAGAGAGGGTATTTATGCTGTAGAAGAGGAACAGAAACCTGTGGCAGCTCCTCTTGCTTCCTCAGTCTTTGTTTCTTTCCCCAAACTCAACTCCCTGATAATGAGGGTTTGCTGGCACCCCTCTTTCCTGGGCTGTGGACAACTCGCACTTGTAAGCCCAGCATTTAAAGGCTTCTCCCCCAGTCCAGGGCTAACAAATCCTTTCCTTTTAGGCATGGCAGCCCTCCACGAAGCTGTGCTTACTGGAAACCTGGAGTGCGTCAAGCTCCTGGTTAAATACGGTGCTGACATCCACCAGAAGGATGAGAATGGGTGGACGCCCCTGCACATGGCCTGCAGCGATGGCTATGCTGATATAGCCAGGTGAGGCGCACCTCGCCTGGGCTGTGACGGGTCACCCCTGCGTTGCAGAGCCCCGAGAGCCATAGCCGACAGCGCCGGGGCTGGACCGGGCTCTGGGCGTCTCCTCCTATGAGGGCGCCCGGTACCTGCGGCACATGCGGGACTGCCCGGGCCTTAAAGCTCCCTGCGACTGCGCCCGGGCATCACGGCAGCGGGGCCTGGGGGAGCCCCGCAGGCCACGGGCCCCGCC